GGCCTGGCGGGCACACGGCAGCGGGGCAGGGCCGGCGGCGCGGCCGTGGGGCTGGGGACGGGCACGGCCACCGCGAGGTCCCCGGGGCAGGGACCCACCCGAGAGCAAGGGCCGCTCCAGCGCCGGGAGCTGCCGCTGCAGCCGGGCTCCCGCACCCCGCGTCCCGGGAGGCCAGAGGGAGCGGGATGGAGTAAAAGGCAGATTTAAAATCAACAAACAAAAGGCTTTTGGTCGCTGTCTTTTTGGGGGGGTTGGGGTTTTTTTGTTTCTTTTTTGTTATCTTTTTTAAATGCAGGCTATAAATAACCTGTAAAATATTTCGTCTGGGCTGTTTCTGCAGCTGAAATCTTGTCCCTCTGGCTTCCCAAGCTCAGGATGTGAATGCGAGCACTGAGGCCGTCAGAGAGCGCCCCTGGATCCCTGGGCTGGATCCCTGGGGTCCTGTACCTTTGCCCATTGGGATCAGGGAATGTCCGTGTCCCTGAACACCTCCAGCCCCCAGGGGCTGGAAACGGTCCTCCCCAGCATGGGCCCGAGCTCCACTGCCCGGGTGCGAGAGGGTCTGAGCACCGCCTCCCGACCGGACGGAGGCGAGAGGCTCAGCCTGGCACAGTGCGGGACAAACAGGACAGGGGAGGCAAGTCTGGGATTGGAACGTCAGGCTCAGAAATACTCTCCCCAACACGTCCCGGGGACAGGGGTGGTCCCTGCTCCCCGAGTCTCCCAGCCTCCATCGCCCCGCAGCAGGGCCGCGCTAACCCCGCTCCTCCCGCCGCGGTACCCGGTGCCCGGCGCATCCCGGCCGCATCCGGGCGCCGCAGCGGTTTCCGTGGAGATGGCATCTCCCAAGCCCGCACCGCCCGAGCCGGGGGTTTCCATGGAGATGCCGTATCCAGCACGGCACAACCTGAGCCGGAGATTCTGCCGAGATGCTGTAGTCGGGACCCTCGCCCCGCAGCGGGGCCATTCCCGGGGACGTGGGCGGCCCGGGCCCTCCGTGGCTCGGGGGTGCCCGTGGTGTTATCACCGCTCCTCACACCAGTTCTGTGACAGCGCTGGGACACCAATACCTGCAGCTGTGAACATCCTGGGGGAGCTGTCGCCAGCCTTGTCACCCTCCAGAGCGGGAACCCACTCACTCGGGCTGCATTGTCACATTCTGTCAGGGTCTCCAAGAGATGGCAGGTCCCTGCCTGTACCCGGCTGCCTGGAGACGAAAAGGGGAAATCCCCATGTCCCCTGATGACTTTGTCCCAGCTGCCACCCCGCAGCTCCCACAGTGACTCGTCAGGGTGGGATATCAGCGGCACCAGGTGGGAAGCAGGCACCGTGTTGCATCCTGCACCAGGGGATGAGGTACCCAGACCCAAACCAGCAGCATCCCAGAGCTGGGGGACACCTGGTTGAGTTCCAGCACAGCCAGCGCACCAAAAACTTCCCGGGGGGAACGTGAAGGGCCTCAAAGGGCAGGACTGAGGCCAAGTGGAAGGGTGAGCAGAGGCAGATGTCCTCCTGGCAGGCAGCTGTGTGTACGTGTGCCCTGGCCAGTGCTATAATAGCAGCTTCGTTTGAGCACAGCTGCCGCAGAGGTGGCACCTTCCGTTCTGCACACGGCAGAGCTCTGGCAAAGCCCAAGCTCCTGCTGCAGAGATGGGGGAGAAGCACGGGAATGCCCCTGGGGCACACGCTGGGACACGCTGGGACACACTGGGACACACTCCTGCCCACTCGGTGCCTGTGGGAGGTGTGGGGCTGGTTCAGCCCCCGTGTCCTTCCTTGCCTCAGCCCTCTCCATGTTCCTGCTCCACCTCTGCTCCCAACTGGACCTTCCTTGGCCACCCTTGTCCTGCCCAAGCCAAGGCCATCTGGAGCCTCCATGGAGGTTTCTCAGCTGGCAGAGCAGCAGCAGCCAGGAGCCTGGGGATGATGCCTGAGGCTGGGCACTGCTAGCCATTCCAGCCTCCAACTCCTGGAGGGCCTTGAGCCCCCACACAGCCTGGCCACTGCCAGGGCTGCCGGCAGCACTTCCAGCATCCCCAGGCACAGGCTGTCAGATGCAGCACTGCGGTCAGAGCCCAGCTCTTTGTCTGCTGTTATAATTAGGAGCCCCCCCAGGCGGACCTGAGAAGCTCAGGGCTGGGGGACAGACACTAAAGGAGCTGGAATCTGGAATGGCAGCCTGGGAGCAGGGGCAGGCCCTGTTCTGCCCACAGCCAGCTACTCTCCAGAGCCTCATGCTGCATTGAAAAGGGCTGGAGCGGGGCCAGGGCTCTCTGCTGTCACCCCTCTCACCCCTGCCAGCTCTGCAGGGCTCCTCACCTGATTTCTGGGGCTCCCCTGGCACCCCAACCTCTGCTCACCCACTGTATTCTCCTCCCCTCCATCACTTTGGCCTTGCCTTGGCTGCCAGCTATTCCCTTGGCTCCCAGGCACAACATGGTTCCTCCCTGCCTTATCCTGGTGATCCCACATTCTCACCCGTCAGCGGTGCTCTCCCAGCCCAGTGCTTCTCCTGGGATGTGGAGGAGGAGGGCAGCAGAGACAGCGTGTGCCTGCTGACTGCTGTCTGTGCTGCTCACCATGGGCAATACACTCTTCAGCCAGCGCCGAGGCCTGGGGTGGATCAGGAGGAAGAGGCCAATCCCAAACTCCCTTGGATGGCCCAAGAGGAAGCCACCCAAAATCTCAATCCATGAAATTCCCTTCCCGAGGCAGGAGCAGCCTTGTTTTGGCCCCAGGAGCTGGGTTCAGAATGTCAGCCTCTGAGCTCGTAACAGATCCAGTTTCTCACGCAGGAGGTGGGACTCTGTCCCGTGTCCCTCCGGAGCGCCGTGTCCCCGGGGGAAGAGGGGCTGCACACAGGCAGCAGGCAGCAGCCTGGCCTGTCGTGTGCCCCCAGCCCTTGGCCTCCCTGCCCACCATCCCCTGTCCCCAACTGCCAGCAGGGAGGACAGGGCAGCCACTCTGACACCGTCACCCTCTCTCTGCACTGCCACCCATGCTGCCAGTGCTTGTTGTCGGAGTGGGACAGCCCATGGAACGTGGGAGGACCAGGGCTGCAGGTAGAGGTGACACCTCGCCACAGTGTCACAGCACCAGCCAAACCCAGGTGAGCTCTGCCCACCTCAGAGGGAGCAGCACGGAGGTTCCCTCTTCAGAAAAGTCCCAAGAAACTCAATGAGAAATCTCCAGACCCCATAGAAATGGATACGCTGTTCCTCCCATGGGACATCCATGCCCTGGCTCCGCAGTCACAGCCCCACCTTCCCAGTGGAAGCTGAAGTGTCCAGGGAAGAACCAGCCCTGGACATGGAAGTGACATGGAGCACACGGGGCATCACATCATTCCTCTTCTTCTGGTGCCAGGAACTACAAGCCACCTTTGCTGCCACCAGCTGCCACCACCGTGCCAAAGGAGAAGGCTCCATGGTCCCAGCCCACCCAGAGACGCCTGCCAGCCTGGCTGCTCAACCATGGCTGGCACTGATGTGATTCCCAGCAGGGTCAGGGTCCCCCCACAGCAGCCTGGCAGGAGCAGACTGTGCCATGCCCAGCTGGTTGTGCTAGCCAACATGTTCTGGTTTCTGCTCAGGGAGGGGGCAATGGTGTGGAGTCTGTCCCAAAAACGGTGGGGAGAGGAGAAATAAATAAAATAAAAGGGCACAAAACGGAGCAGTAATGACAAAAGCAGCAGCAACAGCACTGCAGGCCAGGTCAGAGCTGAGGGCTCAGGCCCTGGTGGCCCAGGGGACACACACACACAGGTCAGGGGCTGCCCTGAGCACTTGGACCTGTGCAGCTCGGCACGAGTCCTGCTGCCAGGGAGGTGCTGTGGAGGAAATGCTGAGGTGAGGCAGCAGCTGTGGGGTCCTGGGGGATGTGTCCCCAGGATGGAGGGGAGATAAAGGAGCCCCCAGCTCCCCCTGCAGCACGAGGCCCTTGAGGAATTACCAGTGAGGGCTCTTTATCTTATTTTCGCTGCGACAGATCATTCCCATTGGCATTTCTTCAAGTTAGTCCATGACTGGTGCCTGATTAGCTCCACTCCCTGATGGAGAATGCCCCTCATTCCCCAGACTTTTCCATTTCCCTGGAACATGAGAGCCACAGAATTTTTCACCACCACCTTTTAAAGTCCTTTGGTGCAAATTATCCCATCCTGAAGAATTTAAAGGTTCTAATTAAATGGGGCAGGAGCAGTGGCATGCTGGAGGATGTGACGGTGGGATGCAGAGCTCTCCCAGTCAGCACCATACAACTCGGGGTGCGATTCCTGCAGGGATGGGGTGAGGCAGCTGCAGGATGAGGCTGTTACTCAAACTGTCTGTTTTTAATTGCACCAGGATGCAAATAAGGCAGGTCTTTATGAACCTGGGGTCATGTGCCTGTCTCAGGCTGTGCCAACCCTTCTTTCTGACCATCATCCAGCCTGAAATGCCTCTTGGAGCACCTCTTTTACCCACAGTCTAGCTGGAGGCAACAGTGGGAAAAGGTTCAACATAATGTGGAGAAGTGGAGTGATTCCCCTCTGCAGGAAGAGCTTCCTCCCTCACGGCCTTCCTCCGTGAAGCCCTGGCTCTCTGCCTTCCCACGGTTCTGGCAGCCCCGTGTTTCACCCTGCCACCCCTCTCAGTGCTGTCTGCGCTTCCCGAATCTCATGCCCCACAAGCTCAGCGCTCTTCTGCCCACAGACCCCTGCCTCAAACTGCTCTCCAAGCCCCCACAGCCCCAAAAGGGGGACAGGCCGTCTCCTGCCCCAGGCTGCTTTGGCCTTTTCTGCAAAAAATAGAGCTCAATCTCTGTGTAAGATGGTTTTTTCCTCTCCTTAGGCACTGAAAAGGTTTGGGGCTGAGGCCGCAGAGGACTCTCCCGGCAGGTGACACCAGGGTGTGGCTGCCAACCCAGATGTGCCATCTGGGGGTGGCCACACCCTGGAGCCCATGCCCACCTCCCGGAGGCCCAGGCCGTGGCAACGCTGAACTAAGAGACTTCACCATCGGATGGACCAAACCGGCGGAGCAAACGGGTCCTGCATGGGCGAGGGCAGCACGGAGCCCACGGAGATCAGCAACGGAGCCCACAGGGGTCCGAGCAGCACGCCGCGGGCGCGGGACAGTGACATCCTCCGGCCCCCACGCCAGCGCCCACGCGGGATCGCGGCCGCGGCCACCGCGGCCCGGCCCCGTTCCGAGCCCCCCACGCAGCCCTGCGGGGCCCGGCCCCGGGGAGCCCCCGGCCCCTGCCGGCCCCCGGGGCCGCTCCGTGCCGGAGCGCGGTGCCACCGCACGGGGACGGGGGACGCCGTGGCGGCGTCGCGGCCCGTGCCCCGGGACCGGCCGCTCCTGCCCGTCCCCGTGCAGCCCCCGCGGCGCGGCCCGGGGGGGGCGGGTCCCGCCCTCCCCTCCGGGTCGTGCCGGAGCGGGGACCCCCGCGGCCCCCCGGCTGCCGGTACGCGGGGGCCGGGCGGAGGGGGGCGGCGGGGCCGGGGCGAGGGGCCGCGGGAGAGGAGCGGGCACGGGGCGGTGCTGCGCGGGGCCCGACACAGCCCGGGGCGGCGTGGCCGGGCAGGGCCGGGCCGGGCCGGGCAGCCGGTGCCCGCACGGCGGGGCCGCGCCAAGGCGCTGCGAGGCCGCCGGTCTCCGAGGCCCGTGCGGGCGCCGGGGGCGGCGCGGCCCCGGGCCGGGCGAGGCTGTCAGCGCCGGGGCGGTGCGGGACGGTGCGGAGCGGGCCTGGCCGGGCACCGCGGGGGGTGCGGCGGCCTCCGGGCCTGCGGGCCCCAGTGCCGCGGGCGGGGACCGGTGACAAACTTGCGGCCGCCGCACCGTGCCGTGCCGCTCGATGTCCCGCATGGCGCGGGGGAGGCGCCTCGACCCCCGCCCCGCAGCGCTGCGCGCCCCGCGGGGTATCGAGCCGGAGGGGGCAGCGGGCCCGGGGGCTCACCCAGCGGCAGCGCCGCCGGGGTGGGGGCCACACGCCCACCTGGGCTGGGCAGGCGGGTCCGCGTTCTCTCAACCGGCCGGCCCCGCTGCGCCCGGGGACACCCACCCTCCCACGGCGGCGCCCGGCGGTGGGCACCGGGCGGGGGGTACCGGGCGGAGGGCAACGGGGCGGGGGAGAGCGGGGCGTCGGGGACCGGGACTGAGGACTCTAGGGCTGGGGACATCGAGACTGCGGGCAACGGGGCTGCGTGCGCCGCGCTCGCCGTGCGCTGCCCGTCCGGCTCTGCCCGCTGTCGGGCGCCCGGCGCTGCCCGGGCGTGGAGCGAGCGCCCGCCCCCGCTGCCGCCTCCTCCTCCATCCTTCTCCTCCCCCCGGTGCGGAGCGAGCGTCGCTCCCCGGTGCGGGAGCCGGTGCCCCGGCGCGGGGTCGGGCGGGCGTGTGTGTGTGTGCGGGGCGTGTGTGCGTTGGGCTCCCCCCGTGCCGAGCCACTCCGCTCCGTGCCGTGCCGAACCCCGGGCGCGGCGGCCTCCCGACCCCCGCCCCTCCCGGGGCCGCGCCGGGCGCGGAGCCCCCTCCCTCCCTCCCCGCGCTCCCTCCCTCGTTCCCTCCCCGCGCCCGCCCGTTCCCTCTCCGGACCGGCCCCCCCGCGCGGGCCGGGGCGCGCGGCACGCCGGGACCCGCAGTCCGCGGGGCGGCTCGGCGGCTCCCGGCCCCGGCGGACGGACTACGGCTCCCGGCAGCCCGCGCGGCCGCGGCTCGCTCTCGCCCTCACACTCCGGCTGCCGCTGCCAGTGTCTCCTCCGCCGCCGCCGCTGCCGCCGAACCGCCGCTCGCAGCGCCCGGGGTCCGACCCGCCGCCTGGGGCAGGGGCCCGCCCCGGCCCGCCGCCCCCCGCCGCCCGCCCGCCTCGGGAAGCAGGTGCGTACCCACCGCCCCGCGCCGCCCCGCGCTGGACCCCGGCCCCCGCTGCCCGGGCACCCCGGGCCCGCTCCGCCCCGCACCCACGGCACACGGGGGCAAGCGGAGGGGAGCGGGTGGCCCGACCCCCCCTCCGGCCGTCCGGACGGGATCTCCATGGAAACGGTCCCGGGACACCCCCGGGGGCGGCGGTGGGGCGGCGCGGGGGGGGGTGTGCGGGCTGGGGGGACCGGCGACGTCCTGCGGCGGGACAGCGGCGGGGGCGCGGCGGGCACTGACAGCGCCGGGCGGGGGGCAGCGGGCGGCGCCGGCGGCTCCGCTCCCCGCCCCGCGACGGCGCGGCGGAGCCGCTGCCCTGCCCGGCACGGCTGCTCCGGCTCCGGCACCGGCGGCACCTGCCGCTGCCGGGGCGGTGCGGGGGGTCCCGCGGCGGGGCGGGGCGGCCGCGCAGCGCGGCGCTCCCGGGGCGGCGGTGGGACGGCGGCGCCGGGCGCTCGTGGAGTTTGGCGGCGTGGCCCGAGCCCGCCCCGGCCGCCGCTGTGCCCGGGGCCGGTTCGGCCGCGGGTGCCGGCCGGCCGGGTGCCGGGCGGTGGCGGAAGAGCCCTCCCCGGGGGCAGCGCGGCCGCCGCCACCTCCATGTCCGGGGCTGCCCCGGTGCGGCAGCGCGGGGGCCCGGCCGCGCCTGCCGGGGCTGCGGGACGCTCCGCCGGGGAGCGGCCCCGGGGGCAACTGTTGAGCCGGGGGCTGCGGGAGCGGGCGCGGGGCAGCACGGCGGGGCCTAGCCCCCGGCACGGCTGCGGGGTGCGGGGCGAAGCCCCCGGAGCGGCTGCCAGGCCGCCGTGTCCCGGGCAGGGGGGGCTGCCCGCCCCGCGGGGCCCCGGCGGCGGCGCGGGGCCGTGGGCCGTGCCGTGGCCTCTCGGGGCTCGCAGCGGGACGCGCCGCGCCTCGGGCGGGGGGCTCGCCGGGGAACCCGCGCGGACCCGGAGCCGGGGCGGGCTGCGGCCGGGGCCGGGGCGGTGCCGCTCCGTGCCGACGCCCCCCGACGCCCGGGGCGGGGCGGCGGGGGCGGCCGGTCCCCCGCCCGTGCCCACGGTGATGGCCGGGCAGCGGCAGGACCGGGCGAGGGAGGCGGCGCTTCCTGCCGCCCTCACCGTGGAGGAAACCAGCCCTCCCGCGGTAGCGTGCCGGTACCGGGAGGGATCCTGGCTCCTCGGCGAGCGACATCGGTCCCCTCATCCCAGTCTGGGTGAGGCCGGTTCAGAGCAGCGCCGGGAGAAGGTCCATCAGGCTGAAATAGAGACGAAGTGAGTTTCTCCTGTCACAGAGCATCCGCTCTCTGGCACCCTCATCCCCTGGAGTCTGGGGATGAGTGCTAGGGCAGGGCCGGTGCATCCCGTGCCCTTCGCAGCTCCTCTGCATCTTTTTGGCCCTGTCTGTAGCAGCCTTCCCTTCCCTGTCTTCTCTTGCCTTCCTTCCCTTCCCTTTCCGCTGTGCTTCCATTGCCCTGGCCACCCTTTGGGTTTGGGTGGTTCCAGTGCCAGCACTGGCTGGAGGCTCCGTGGCGCCAGTCGAGGACACCGACTGCATTGCTGTCACCTGGGTCTGGAGACGCATTCCAGGTGTCACAGCCCGGGCTCCAGCGGGGTTTGGCCTTCAGAGCTGCCCTTGGGACCTCTGGGCTCTGGAGCACTAGTCTGGCTCCCAGGTATGGGAGGCTGTGCTCTGCTTTTGGAGTTTTGGATGGATGTGCACCTTGTCAGGGACATTTTTTAATATTATCATTCCTTAATAGCTCTTTTTCAATCCTTAAAAATTTGTGGGCTTTGGTGAGGGCAGCCTGGTTGTTGCAGACAAGGCAGGGTTTAGTGACACCAGTTGTCCAGCAGCTGGGACCAATTATCGCAGCACTGCCCAGTGTGCAGCAAACTTTTATTTTTTTTCTGAAATAGGGACGGATTTTTTCTTTTTTATTTCCGATTCATCGTGCTGAGGATCTATAATTACGTGTGGTGTTACTGTGTCTTTAAATCAGCTTAAGCAAATGCGTGTAGGCAAAGCCTGGCTCAGCTCTGCAGCGGCCGGGGCGGCTGTGCAGGCAGCGGGGACCAAACCCGGCTCGGGGCTGCCCTCGCCGGGCACCGCTCTGCCCAGACAGCCCCAGAGGTGGCCTGGCCCGTCCTTGCTGCATTTTGTGCCACTCTTGTCATTCCTGGTCCATTCTCCTACAGTTTCTGACCTCTGCATGAGTGATAATATAACATAAGATAGTCTGTTCTCTTTTTATTTAGTTTTGTTGTTTAAATTTTTCCCTCATTGCATATCGTGCCTGCTGCGAGTCCTGTGATAGGGCCGTCATAGGTTTTTTGATTTAATTTTTGATTTCATCGTTAATTTTTTGCCGTCAGTTTACTCCACCGGCTTTTCCAAAGTGGTGCTCAGAGCCGAGGTGCCGGGGGCACGAGTGCTTGCTCCGGCCCTCTGCCCCTCTGATGGACGCCAGACCATCCCATATCAAAACACATAGAATTCCTTGCCTGCGTTACTAATGGCAACGAAGAATTGCCAAAGTGAACAAACTATGGCAAGGGAGGGAGACCTGCCTTTCTGTGCAGACCGTTCCCTCTGGCCCACCTGGCCCCTGGGGAGAGCTGCAGGGCACATTGCCCCTCATTCCGCTGCTCCCGCTCCTGCCAAAGCGGCCAGCTGTGCTCCCAGCGCTGAATCCCACCCGAGTTTCCCGCAGCTGACCTCATTTTATATTTTGTAGCCATCCAGGGGATAAAACCCCCTTCCTGACAGGTTTTGCTGCTCTGGGAATGAATGTTTCAAAGGTATCTCCCGCGGGTGTGTTTCCAGGGTCAAAGTGCATTGCTCCCAGCCTTCCGCAGTGTCCCCTGGCCACAGGAGCCACATGGTGCTGTGGGAGGGCAAGCAGAGCATCCTCCCCATCTCCTGCCGAGGGATGTGGTAGCCTTTCTCTGTTCCACACCCTAGGGCTGGGAAGTCCTTTTCCTTCCTCTGTGCCACGGGCCCACTCAATGCCAGCATGGACGGGGGCACCACCGACTGGGCAGCATTTACTGTGTCCAGCTGAGCTGCACCAAGTGACCCATGCTGGGATTCCTGGAGTCAGCTCATGCTGTGGCTGCAACTCAGGCAGGGGGAAAGGCAAGGCTGATGTTCTCCCTGGGTGAACTCGTGCCATTGTCTGAGTTCCTGTTGCCAGCAGTGGAGCACATTGCTGCCTGTTGGGTCTTTGCTTGGTGCTCTCCCACCTGTGTTGGGGATGATGTGCCTGCCCAGAGCAGGCAGAGGGAATCCTTGTGCTGGGGGGGCTGCTGGTGTTTCAGTAGCTGCCAGCTCCCACCTGCCCAGGCAGGGTGCAGCGGGACACTGCCCATCTCTCGGTGTGTAGCTCATGTGCTGGGGCTGGCATGGCACAGAGGAAGGGCAAGTGCCTTGAAATCCAAGTGGTTTTAGTACTTGGAAATGCACAGAGCAGGAAAATACATGGAAAGCCTTTTGTGGGAGATCAAGGCAGCGTGGTCCTGCAGAGGGATGTGTTTGCACCATGGAGAACTGATTGGCACAGGCTGTCTCTGGGAGGAGCAGGGAAAAGCCCCCTTCCCGCCCTGGTAGGCCTGGCTGCACTACAGGTGCCATAAGGTGGATGCTGGAGGAGGTCATGGCTCTGGGTAATCTGATCAAAGTGAGTTAGACCAGGTGGCAACATAGTTGTGACATCTGTGAGGGCAAACACCAACAGCACCAAACTCCCCAGTGAGAAGCAAACCCTTGGCTATCTGTGACTGGCAGGTTGGTGCCAGCCTGAGAAGTTGCTTTGCGTGTTTGCCAATGCAAGCGCTTGAGAAATGAGGCTGGGGACCTGATGGGGCCAAGGGATTGCTGTCACTGGGAGGAGAGGGTGGCTTGCAGCGGGATGGCTTCAGAATCTACTTTGCAACCCCTCTGCTGCATTAGCGCTGGGGTGGGAGGTGTGACTTTAAGGGGCTGCAGGAAACAATTAGGCAGCCTCACTTCGGGCAGCTCAAGCTGGGATCTCCAAGAGCCAGGGAACAGACAGGGTTTAACAGGGGTCAGCGTGGAGATGGCATGGGCTTAATTCTTGTCAGCAGTGGGAGCTGGTAGGTGAGTGCTGGGGGAGCCTGTCCTGGAACCTTTGCTCAGCCTGCCCCAAAATGATGGTTGTCTTGGCGCTGTTGGGTTTTCATTGCAAGGAGGACTTGTCAATAGATAATGGTTAAAAAATGTCCATTCCTGAAGAACTTAATCTCTGGAAACTTGTTTCCATCACTGTACAGCAATATTTCAGAAGAGTAATTTCTTGACTTAATCCAAGGGAGCTTCCATGGGTAGCCAAGTCATCACTAACCTGAGTAACAGCGCAGTTTCACTGCAAGGAAAACATCTGCTTTGCTTTTCCTGGAGCCTGGAAGAGGCGGGTTTGCAGAGTAGCATCGTTTCCTTTTGCGAAACGGTGAGATGTATTGCCTTAATGAACAAAATCCCCTTTTTTAATTCGCCATAGGAGTTTCATTGCAAACCTCGCAGAGGGTTCGCCGTCGGAGGCGAGCGTGTTCAGCACCTTACTTGCTCGCAGTTCTTAGGGCACGCTTTGTTTCGGGAGGTGAAGGAGCTTTAATACCATATGAGCTTCCCCACACAGAATGCCTCGATGTTCTTGCTTCATTCTAAACTCGTTTTCTTTGGCGTTAATTAGAATTGGCTGAGCACCTATTTAGCTAAATCAAAATAAGACTGTGGTTTCGTATACACTTCCTTTGGCAGACGTTGTGGATTAAGTCGAGTCTGTGCCAGGCTCTGCCCTCTCTCCGTCTTGGTGAAGCTGATCTAGGAGCTGGTATGGGTTAAAACCAGTCCAGCCAGGAAAAAAAAAAAAAAAAAAAGAAAAAGTGTTTTAAACAGAGATCAACTCCCTGGTCAGGTTTACGGAGATACTGCAGGGCTTCAGTGACATGACTGAAGGGGTGAGGGGAGAGAAGGGCTTCAACAGTTTCTCAACAGCTTCTTCTGCTTGAAGACAGGCATGTGAAGCCATGCCCTAGTTGTGTTCTCCAAGGGTTTCCTATGAGTTTAATTACATCCCTTTAATGTTGCTTCCAACTGCACCAGTGTAGATGGGAGATCTGCTCGCTTTCCTTGTGCCGACTCGGCTAAGAGTGTTCTGACCCAGGGAGGCTGCACTTGCTCTCTGTGGTTCAGTGTTGCATCGGGAGGCTGCTCATCCCTGCATTTCCCAATAAACTTCCTGGTCTGCCTTTTTAAGAATGCTGTTGCTCCACTGGTTTGTGTTTGAACCCACGTCTGGTGCTTGGCCCCTGTTTTATTCCTTCTCTGAGTTCATCTCTGGATTATTTTTCTTTTCTGTTCTTCGTTCCCTGTGAAATGCCTGTCTTTGGCATGTGTCCCACATCGTCTGTAGAGGATAGAGGCCAAGAATCCACGAAACAGTGTTGATCTCTGTCACTGTGTCCTCCCAGCTCCCCTCCTGTGGCCGTCGTTCCGGCCCTTTTGACCAGCTCTTACTTGAGGACTCCAAACGTGCCGTTTCTTCCAGCTCCTCATGGCACCCCGTTAGCACTCCTCCCTTGCCAGACCTATTCCGGGCTCACGCCTGATCTCTGCTTGTCCCCAGCTCCACGTCGTGCAGCTGCACGCATCCCCTTCTCCCGTTGCAGAGAAGGTCCCTTTTGATTCCTCCTGGGACATCTGTCCTGCTGCTGTGCTTGGGGGCAGAACGTTCCTCCTCCCCTCCTTTCAGTTTAGCCTAAGATGGTGAAATCCCCGCAGATTGTTTGTTCCCCTATTTCCTTTATGTTGCATTTCTCTCCAAGCATCGAAAGACTCCTCCCCTTCCTGCTCCAAGCCACCTCGGTCTCTTTGGGTATGACCCTGCTCTCTGCCTTGGCGTCTGCCCGTCTCCCCCATCGGGAGGATTTCTCCCGTCTCACACACAGTGTGTGTTTTTAGCAGGTTTCCCCTCTTCCCCTGACCTCTGATTTCCGTACGCTGTTTGTGCACTTGTGCCCTCGTACGTGCAGATGGGTCCGTCGGTTTCTCTTTGGCACACCAGCTGCCTTGCCCCCGTTTCTGCCGTGTGCCTGGCCCCTTTTTCCTCCTCGGAGGATCCCCGCCGGCACGTTCGGGCTGCGGCGAGGACACCCGGCAGCAGCTGCGCTCGGGGAGCCGCTCAGCCCCGCGGCTCGGCCCTTGAGCTGCGGGCCCAGCTCCCCGTGGGGCTCCTTTCATGGCACAGACCGCTGCTC